CTTATAGTCTAAGCAGATAAGGTGGTACTAACTGGACAAGCAGCGGGAATTTCAACAGCAAGTTCTTTCAATGGAGACGACATGAAGGTGGTTTGTTAAGTAGGACTTGAACAGGTGAGAACGGTTCCACTGTGGTGGATGAGGAAGGAGAGATGGTTGATGAGGATGGCGTGTTTGACTGTTTCGTGGCTCTGGCATGTTCAACTGTGTCAAACGTAGCTCGAGGAAGATGAGGAGGCAGACAGATCCCTGATCACAGAGAGAGGATGTAGTTTGTGAACAAAGATTGAACCCCGATGAATGCCACAATTGAGAGGCAGAAGATGAATCCATTGGAAGAAAAACATTGGAAAGGTAGAAGGAAAGCACAACGCCATAGAGATATTCCAGGGAGAACTGACGGTGGTGGAGGATGCAGTGGTTATTATTTCGAAGGTGATGGAGAGATTGAGGAGAACCAGGAAGTACAGGTCACAGTGAGAGATGATGTGATTTGTGACTTTAACCAGGGTGTCATGGGTGATGTGGAAGGTTGGTTGGAAAGGTCCATACAGGTTATGGTGGGAGAGGAAGGAGTCTCTGTCTGTATTCAAAACTGATTTGAAAACTGTGAGATTGCACTACTCCAAGGACTCCATGGCACAAAATCACGTCACAATATCGTGAACATCAAGTCACAAAAAATTGCTTGGTTTTATTGTAGTTGATGGGTTATTATTATTATGTCAAGTATTTTACGGCTCTAACGTTGCATGAATGATCAAATAGTAACTGTGTTTCAGTCTATCATTGATACTACTTCACCTTTATTGTCGTCAACAATTTAAGTTGTTTTTGTTCTCAGGTGATTCAAAAGCCAGAATTCATTTTAAATTATGAGACAATAGTAAACTACAGAGACGGATCCCAGATCCTTGTTATTGCTACACATGACTTAACAAGATAAAATTTGTCAGACCAGGTTAAGAATGTAACCTTGATCCAAATTCCTTTGCATTGATTTAAATGCTTCAGCTGACCAAGTAGGCATCAGGGTGTAAAATTACAGCTTCAGGGAAAAACTCAGTGCGAAACAAAGTGCAGGATTTGGGCAAGGGATTGGATATCAGTAAAAATTATGTAGGTTCCTTGACCAATGGACAACAACAAATTAAATTTGTTTAGTGTCTTTCATGTCAGGAGGTCGCCCCAACGTGCTGCACAGTCAGGAATCCACACCCGAGCTGGTGGTTGGGATCAGGAGGGGTGGAGTGCGGGGAGGGGATGGGTAGGAAGGTGACAAGGGTCTTGAAGGAGGCAAGGAAGGGGGCGAGGCAGAGGTACTGTGGGATGGAGTTCCAGAGGGTGGGGGCAGAGAGCCTGAAGGCCCAGCCATCAATGGTGGGGTGGGCAAGGCAGTGGACGTGAATCAGGCCAGAGCCCGCTAAGCGGAGGGAGCGGACAGGTTGGTAGGGGGGTGGAGGTCACATAGATAGGGAGGAGCAAGACCATGGAGGGCTTTGAAGGTGAGAACTGTATCCTCTGAGTGAAAGGGAGTCAGTGGAGCTGGGTGAGGTTTGGGGTGAGAAGGTCGCGGATCCTGGTGCGAGTGAGGACACAGGCTGCACAGTTCTGCAGCCTGTGGAGGAAGAAGTTGGAGAGGCCGACTAGCAAAGAGCTTACATAGTTAAAGCCTGAACATACCTGGACTCTTTTCTCTTGAAAAGAGGAGGGTAAGGGGTGACCTGATAGAGGTCTTTAAAATGATGGAAGATTTTGATAGGTAGTCATAGGGAAGATGTTTCCACTTGTGAGGGAGACCAAAACCAGAGGCCATCAATACAGTCACAAATAGATCAAATAGGGAAGTTAGAAGAAATTTCTTCACACAGAGAGTAGTGGGAATGTGGAAGATGCTACCACAAGGAGTTATTGAGGCAAATAGGATAAATATATTGAAGGGAAAGCTAGATAAGTACATGAGGGAGAAAGGAATAGAAGGCTACGTTTGAAGGCTCAGTTGTGGAAGGATAGGAGCAGGTTCACGTGGAGCATAAACACCGGCATAGAACAGTTGGGCCGAATGGCCTGTTTCTGTACTGTACATTCTAATGTATTCTAATGTATAATTATAATAAACCTTGCATTTGATCTAGCGCCTTATCACGTCTTCCAGATGTCTCAAAGCGCTTCACAGAATATAAAGTGAATTGACTGTATTTTGTGGGTGAAACGCGACAGCCAATTGTGCACAACAGTATCCCACAAACAGCCGTGGATTGAAGTGACCAATTTATTATTTTTTTTTAAGGAAAAGCGATCCGCCAATCGACTAACAACTCAGTTCCTACTTACTGCTAGGTAAACAGAGGACTGTGGAGTAACAACAATAACAACAAAATTACATTTGAATAGCACCTTTCACCTTGGGAGGATGTCCCAAGGTGCTGGCCAGACAGAGTTATGGACCCGAGCTGAGGGCTGGGGTGGGGGAGGGAGTTCGAAAGCACATTTGAAGAGTAGGGTCTTGAAGGTAGCAAGGGAGGGGGACAGATGGAGGGACTGCCGAATGGAGTTCCAGAGGGTGGGTGCAGGGTAAGGAAACTTGCTTAACATTTTGCTCTGCCGGGAATCAAACCCAGGTCTCTCACTTGCGAGGAGAGTGCTCTAACCACTGAGCTACAGAACTCCACATGTGTGATGTGATATGATGAATACCTGGATGAAGGTCTCTGCTGCCTGCTGTGAGTGGCAGAGACAGAGTGGCAGAGCCGGGCAATGTTGTGGAGGTGGGGAAAGGCGGAGCATGTCATGCCATGTATGTGGGGGATGAAGGACAGTTGTGGGTCGAACAGGTCGCCGAGGTTCCATATTGGCTCCATGAGGTGTAGAGTGACAGAGGGTGATGCTATCAGCGGCTGAGGTATGGAGGCGGGAGCCAAGCGGGAGGGCCTCAGTCTTGTTGACATTTAACTGGAGGAATTTTGCTCTCATCCAGCACTTGATGTCTGACAGGCAATCTGTGAGGATAGCATTGATCCTGGAGTTGAGGGTGGAGAGGTAGAGTTGGATATCATGTGGATACATGTGGAAGTTGACCCCATTTCTATGCATGATATCACCAAGAGGGAGCATGTCAATGTTGAAAAGGAGGGGATCAAGGACAGCGCCCTGAGGGATGCCCGCATGACGGTGCAGGGGCCGGAGGAGAAGCCATTAGTGAAGACAAAGTAGAGATGGTGGGAGAGGTAGAATTTGAACCAGGGAAGGGCAGGTCCATTAAGATTGAGCTGAGAGGAGAGGCGGTGGGGTATGATAGAATGGTCAACAGTAATAATAATAATCCTTGCATTTGATATGGCGCTTTTCATGCATTCTAGACGTCTCAAAATCTTCACAGAAGACTGTAAAGTGAATTGACTGTATATTTGTGGTCGAAACAGTGTTGAAGGCAACAGAGAGGTTGTGGGGGACAAGGAGGCAGAGAAAGCTCTGGGTGCAGATGGACAGAATGCCATTGGTGGCTTTGACCAGGGCTGTTTCCGTGCTGTGGGCAGCAGGGAAATCTGATTGGAAAGGTTCATAGAGGGAATGGCGGGAGAGGAAAGAGAGAAGCTGGACGCGTCAACTTGTTCTAGGGCCTAAGAGAGGAAAGGGAGGTTGGTGATGGGGTGATAGTGATGGGTCCAGGGAAGGTTTTATGAGGACAGTAAATTGAGCAAGTGCCTTTCAAGGACTTGATTTCACGAGAGTGAATGGGGCAAGCCAGTTTAATTGATTCTTGGAACAACAACTTGGATTTATATAGTGCCCTCCACGCCGGACGGTTTCTCAGAGCGCTTCACAGTAACGGATCCCGGGGCTGAGCCAGAGGGAGGGGGAGGAAGGTAACCAAAGACACGGTCAAAAAGAAAGGTCTTCAGCCGAGACCTGAAAATAGTAAGAGAGGGGGCGAGGTGAAGGGAGTCAATTAGTCAAGTGACAATTATTTAGTTACAGTTCATAATAATAATCCTTGCATTTGATAAAGCGCTTTTCAAGTCGGGAGGACGTCCCAAAGCGCTTCACAGAACACACTGTAAAGTGAATTGACTGTATATTTGTGGGCGAACGCGGCAACAACAACAACAACAAGATTCCATTTATAAAGCGCCTTTCACGTCAGGAGGACGTCCCAAGGCGCTGCACAGTTGGGTCATGACCCGAGCATTGGGGGGGAAATGGTCAGGGTGAGGGAAGGGAGGGAGCAAGGAGGGGGAAATGGTCAGGGTGAGGGGAGGGGAGGGAGGGAAGGCAGCCAATTGCGCACAGCAATGTCCCACAAACAGTCGTAGATTGAAAATGACCAATATATTATTGTTTGGGGTTTTGGAGGGATTATTATTAGGCTCTGTGTGGAGTAAGGAAACTTGCCCAAGGTTTCGCCCTCTGCCTGGAATTGAACTCAGGTCTCTCGCTTGCAAAGCGAGTGCTCTAACCACTGAGCTACAGGACTCCACCTGTTTGATTTCTATTTGATTTCTGTCAACAAGGGGAATGTTTTCGATGGCTCCTTAATGCATCCAGAGTCGGGTATGTTCAAAATAAGGCATGAAGTAGGACCAAAGGAGGAAATTTAAGTTTCCTTCAGTAGTAAAGTCGGTTCCCTGGTTTGTGTTGTGCCCCAGATTCCACACATGCGCAGTCGGTTCCCTGGTTTGTGTTGTGCCCCAGATTCCACACATGCGCAGTCGGTTCCCTGGTTTGTGTTGTGCCCCAGATTCCACACATGCGCAGTCGGTTCCCTGGTTTGTGTTGTGCCCCAGATTCCACACATGCGCAGTCGGTTCCCTGGTTTGTGTTGTGCCCCAGATTCCACACATGCGCAGTCGGTTCCCTGGTTTGTGTTGTGCCCCAGATTCCACACATGCGCAGTCGGTTCCTTGTTGTCTGGCGGTGAGTTGGCTATCGCTGATTGGGTAACACGGGCGCCGCGGATTGGCCGGAGTAGTTGTCGTGGCGCGTGTTTCCGGTTTGCTGGGAGGGAAAGGCGGGACCTGGAGCCAGTGACAGGCAAGATGGAGGTGCTGGAGGCTGATAATCTACTGTGGGACACTAAGCTCAGCCACCTCAACATGGGCCTGGAGGCGGCCGACTGCGAGCTGCTGCATAATACAGTGAGTGGTGTTCCTGTCACTTTATTACTGAGGGAAAGGGGTGTCTCTTTATTATCGGGGGAGTCCCTTTATTACTGGGGAGGGGGGGTTGTCCCTTTATTACTTGGGGGGTGTCCCTTTATTACTGAGGGAGGGGGATGTCCCTTTATTATTGAGGGAGGGGGATGTCCCTTTATTACTGAGGGAGGGGGATGTCCCTTTATTACTGAGGGAGGGGGATGTCCCTTTATTACTGAGGGAGGGGGATGTCCCTTTATTACTGAGGGAGGGGGATGTCCCTTTATTACTGTGGGGGAGGGGTATCCCTTTATTACTGTGGGGGAGGGGGTGTCCCTTTATTACTGGGGAAGGGAGGTGGGGTCTGACCCTCTGTTACTGGAGGAGGGGTGGGGGGGTCTGTCACTTTCTTTCTGGGGGATGGGAGGTATCTATTTATTACTGAGGAATGAGGGGATGTCTTCCTCTATTACGGGGTAGTAGGGTTTCTGTCCCTTTGTTACTGGGGGAGGCGTGTGTCTGTCCCGTTATTAGTGGGGGAGAAGGAGCACTTTCCATTTATTGCAGGGGGAGGGGTGCTCTGTCCCTGTATTGCTGGGGGGGGGTGGGCAGTAGCGTGTCTATCCCTTTATTACTGGGGGGGGCGAGAGGGTGCATGGGTGTCTGTTTTTTTATTGTTGGGGTAGGGGGCAGGGTCTGTCCCTTTATTACTAGGGAAGATGGAATCTGTCCCTTTATTACTGGGGGAGGGGCTGTGTCTGTCCCTTTATTACTGGGGTGGGTGTGAGTCTACCCTTTATTATTGAGGGAGGTTAATGTTTTTCCCTTCATTATTGTGGGAGCGGAAGTGTCTTCCTGTATTACTTGGGAAGCAGCGGTGTCTATCCCTTTATTGCTAGGGGAGGGGGCTATCTGTCCCATTATTACTGGGGGAGTGGCGGATGTCTTTCTTTTACTGGGGGATGGGGGGATGCCGCCCTCTATTATGGGGTAGTGGGGTGTCTGTCACTTTGTTACTGGGTGAGATGGGGTGTATGTTCCTTTAATACAAGGGGAAGGGGTGTGTCTGTCCCTTTATTAATGGGGGAAGGGACTGTCTGTCCCTTTATTACTGGGGGAGGATTGGGTGTCTGTCCCTTTATTACTGGGGGAGGGGTGGGTGTCTGTCCCTTTATTACTGGGGGAGCAGAGGAGTCTGTCCCTTTATTACTGGGGGAGCAGAGGTGTCTGTCCATTTATTGGCGGAGGGGGCTGTCTGTCCCTTTATTACTGGGGAAGGGGTGGGTGTCTGTGACTTTATTACTAGGGGAGGTGGTGTCTGTCCCTTTATTACTGGGGTAGGAGGCGGGGTCTGTCCCTTTATTGCTGGGGGATGGGGGTGTCTCTCCCTTTATTATTGGGGGTTGGAGTTTGTCTCTTTATTTGGGGGAGGGGTGTTATTTGTCTCTATTTCTGGGGGAGGGCACGTCTGCCTCTTTATTACTGGGGAGAGTTGGTGTGTCTGTCCCTTTATTACTTGGTGGTGGGGGACTGTTCCTTCATCATTGGGGGAGTATCTGTCCCTTTTGTTGCTGGGGGAGGACCAGGTGTCTGTCTTTTTATTACTGGGTGCGGTGTGTGTGTCTGTTCCTTTTTTACTGGGGAGTGGGCGTGCATTTCCCTCTATTATTGGGGGAATGAGGTGTCTGTCCATTTATCACTGGGGGTAGTCTCTCTTTATTGCTGGGTGTGGGTTGTCTCCCTTTTTTGCTTGGGGTGGTGGGTGTCTCTCCCTTTATTACTGGGGGTTTGTCCCTTTATTACCGTGTCTGTATTTTCCTCTGGGGAATGAGGTGTCTGCCCTTGCAAAGGGAGAGACCTGGGTTGGATTCCTGGCCGGGCAAAATGTCTGGCAAGTTACCCTACTCCATACGTCTCTGTTTACTTAGCAGGAACCCGATTGTTAGTCGATTGTTAGATCGCTTTTCTGGATGTAATAATTCCTTCAAAAAAATATAATAAATTGGTGACTTAATCCACGACTGTTTGTGGGACACAGCTGTGCGCAATTGGCTGACATGTTTTGCCCCCAAAATATACAGTCAATTCACTTTTCAGTATATTCTGTGAAACGTTTTGAGACTTCTCGAAGACGTGATAACAACAACAAGATTCCATTTATAGAGCGCCTTTCACGTCGGGAGGACGTCCCAAGGCGCTGTCCTGTTGGGTCAGGACCCGAGCAAGGGGGAAATGGTCAGGGTGAGAGGTGGGAAGGGAGGGAGCGAGGAGGGGGTAGAGAGTCGAGAGGGGAGCTGAAGGCACGGTCAAAGAGAAAGGTCTTGAGACCGGCCTTGAAGGAGGAAAGGGAGGAAGCAAGGCGAAGGCACTGGGGGATGGAGTTCCAGAGCCTAGGGGTTGAGAGGCTGAAGGCCCGGCCACCGATGGTATCTTGAATTCGATCCTCTGGGGGATGGGGAGCCAGTGGAGGTGAGCGAGGATGGGAGTGATGTGGTCGCGAAGCCTGGTGCAGGACAGTACACGAGCTGCAGAGCTGATAAGATGCCAAATACAAGGATTATTAATATAATATTGTTTGTATTTAATACAATGTCTTTCATGTTGGGAGGTATCTCAAAACACTTCATAGAAGCGTCAATCCATCTTAGTTCCAACCTTCTTGCCTCTTAAATCAGAATGCCAGATTGTGGTTTTGAGCCCCAATGTGAGGACATGGATATCAGGGTCTAGGCTGACACCTAAATGCAGTGCTTGGGGCGTGCTGTTGTCCTTTGGATGAGGTGAACCAAGGTCCCAGCTGCCTATTCAGGTGGATGATCGAGATCTCGTGTCTTGAAAAAAGAATGCAATTCTCCGAACTTCAGGGTAGCAGAAAGATTTCCTCCAGCCTACTTCTGGAGTCCTGTAGCTCAGTGGTTAGAGCACTCGCTTTGCAAGTGAGAGACCTGAGTTCAATTCCAGGCAGGGCGAAACCTTGGGCAAGTTTCCTTACTCCACACGCCTAATAATAATCCCTCCAAAACCATAAACAATTTGGCCATTTTCAATTCACGCCTGTTTGTGGGACATTGCTGTGCGCAATTGGCTGCTGTGTTCGCCCACAAATATATATACAGTCAATTCACTTTACAGTGTGTTCTGTGAAGCGCTTTGGGACGTCCTCCCGACGTGAAAAGCGCTATATCAAATGCAAGGATTATTATTATTATTCTGAAGTCCATTCCCAAACAATGAGGTTGGATTTGTGGTAAACCATAGCAGTGGCTGCAGGGTGGGATCAACCGACACTGATCTGTTGAGCACCATGGAGGGTACATCCAGGCGGGTACATCAGTTTCCCAATGCCCACGCATGAGGACCTTATAAGGTAGTTGGTGCTGAATACGTCTGGTACGTGTTGGGCTTGGACCTTAAAAGGCTGGCACGTCACAAGTTGTCCCGTTAAGGCCCCATCATGCTAATGCCAGATGTCTACAAATAGCTAATAAGGAAACTTTTGAGGCTCATGATGACAGCAGCTGCAAGGAGTTAACGTGGAGTCTGAGTTCTAGAACATGGGGAATTCCAGAGATTTGGGCCTGGTAACTGAAGACACGGCCATCGATGATGGTGGTGTGGGGGTGTTGGGAGATAGCCTGCAGATGGGAGGTATCTCAAAGCTCTTCATAGAATCATCAGCCCAGCTCAGTTGGTAGCACTCTTGCCTCAAAGTCAGAATGTGGGTTCAAGCGCTTGAGTGAAGGGGGTAGACAGAGGAGTTTGGTATGAGCAGGGTAGGAATGTGTGTCTGAGCTGTGGGCAGGAAGATAGTTACAAGGATCCAGTACATTTTGTGCTTAGCCGTTGTGCTGCTCACCATAAAGCTCACAAGGCGTTTCTGGAGCATGCTGTCTACCAAGTAAGGGCTTGTTGGATGCCAAATGATCTACTCATGATTAACCTCCTTGGGTGGGAGGTAAGCAGAGTCAACTTGGAGCTGAGCTGGCTCTAAGGGACGTGCTTGGAATGCAATGTCGGTATTGAGTAACCCTTTGCCAGTCTCAACATCTGGTTTCCATAGTACTCCAGGGCACTGCTGTTGACCAACCAGCCCAGCCTAACTCATTGGCAGGACATGAAGGGGCAGGGCTTCTTCCCCTTGGCTTGAGTTAAGTCTGCATGCTGTAACCCTACTGGTAGGCTGTTCCTGGCTTGACAGGCAGTGAGAAGCTTGCCAATTGTGCTCACTGGCAAGCTAAGTGGTTTGTAAGTTGGTTAAACTCCAGCAGTTACCCCCAACACTCCCACTGGGGACCCCAAGTCTTGGCTCTCACCAACCTGCACCTTATACTCTCCTGAATTAGGTAACAGGGTGTATCCTTCCAGGGGCAAGAGAAATGCAGCAACATGGGTGGGGGGTGAGGTGTCCTTTCCTGGAACTTTGTGTGCAATATTTGGATGTGGGGAAGAGTATTTATTGTTCCTGCATGATCCCGGGAAGAAGTGGTGCCTGTACTTTTACTGTGCTGAGATATGTGTCCTTGGAGGAAGAGATTGCCAGTCCCTGCACTTTACCTGGGGCAGGGTAGTGAGGTTTCCTTACTCTTTGTTTTAGATAGGGGTGTGCCAGCCCTGTTCTGTCCCTTGGGATGAAGGAGAGGGGGAGTTACTATGTTCTGGTGCTTGAATGAAGGGTTGGTTAATAATAAATAATAATAATAATCCTTGCATTTGATAAAGCGCTATATCAAATGCAAGGATTATTATTATTATGTTTTGTCCACAAAATAGTCAAGAGTCAATTCTGTGAAGTGTTTTAAGATGTCTCGACGATGTGATAAGGCGCTATATCAAATGCAAGGATTATTATTATTATTTGACGTCTGACAATCAATATGAAATATATGGGAGAATTGCCACCATCTTCCTGCTACAGCCAATATATTGATGACAAGCATTTGAAAAGTTTGAGGTGATTGACATGGGACTAAGTGGGTGGGGGGCATATCCTTGTCCAACAAGATTTCTGCTTTCTAATTTTTTTCAATCTTCCTCAGCACTTCACAGAGATACTGGATGAATTTTCCCAGGACATGCTGGGTCACCTCTTCAATGATCCCTTTCTGTCTGATAAGAGTGAACTGATGGATGCTGAGCTCTCTCCCGCTCCCCACATCCAGGCTGAGCACAGCTACTCACTGGCAGGAGATTCCCGACCCCAGTCCCCACTTGCACAGATCTCTAATCCAGAGGACTGCACTGAAGGTACAGTTGATGGGATTTCTTCCACGTTTGGTGTTTGATATGTTTCTTTTTTGGAATTAATTTTCATTTTTAGAAATTTAGCGATATAATGACATCCAGCAATAACAATTTGCATGTACCTTGCATCCTTCACGAGGGTAAGTGACTCGGATCACTTGAAGACCCAAATATGCAGTCAACTCACTTTACAGTGTATTCTGTGAAGCGCTTTGGGACGTCCTCCCGACGTGAAAAGCGCTATATCAAATGCAATGAAAAAAAAACAACCCAAACTGGTGTGTAAGGCAATAAATTCTCTGATGCGTACAGAGTTACTGCATTTCGGAGCAAATCCTGGGTAATGCTTAGGGACCTATTGATGAGGGGATAAGGCACTATAAGCCTTGGTTTACCTGGCAGAAACCTGGTTGTTAGACAATTGGTGGTTGCATTCTGGGGGGATTAATGATTTAAAAAATAATAATTTGGTCACGCAATGCACAATTGTTTGTGCGTCACTGCTTTGGGCAATTGGCTGCTGCATTTCGTCCACAAAATATAGTCAGTTCACTTTATAGTATATTCTGTGAAGTGCTTTCAGTTATCTCAACGACATGATAAAGCGCTATATCAAATGCAAGGATTATTATATCCATCCTGATTTAAGTTTATGGGAAGCTTCAAAATGTATTATTGTACATATTCTAGTCCTATTTCGTGGCAACTGTTTCTTCAAGTGAAGATAAATGCCGATAAGAGGTACTGGTAACTGCAGAGGGACTGCCTCTTAGCTCTAATCAACAGAAATCTGGTATTACAAGAATATTGATGTCATGTCACAGCTCAGTTGTTGATGTTACTAATGTCAAGAAAAGGCAAGAATGCGTGGCCGGATGTCTGGTTCTACATTATGGCCTGACATTTTTGTAGCCCTGTTTGTTGTCACCTGGTGTTCACATTCATATTCTGTTAAGTCCTGGTTAGAGCACTTGCCCTGCAAATGAGAGGACCTGGGTTCGATTCCTGGGTGAAGCGAAACCTTAGGCAAATTTCCTTACTACACAAGCCTCTGTTTACCTATCAGTAAGCAGGATCCTGGTTGTTAGTCGATTGGCAGATTGCTTTCTGGGGATAATAATCGCTTCCAAAAGTATATAATTATAATAATTTAGTTGGTCAATCCAAGACTATTTGTGGGACACTGTTGTGCTCATTTCGCTGCCGTATTTTGCCCGACAATGTAAATAAACTTCACAGTGTATTCTGTGAAGCACTTTGAGATGTTTCGAAGACATGATAAGGCACTATATCAAATGCAAGGATTATTATTATACATATTTCTTTTGATTGGGGTGTGACATGTTATTTGAGGGTGAGAAGGGAACAAGGCATCACATAAGTGCTTAGAGTTTGGTGTGAAGATAAAAACTGTACTTAAAATAAAGGAGATGTGCTGACACTCCAGGAAGCTCCAACAAAAACTGAATATTGTGAGTGCGGTAAAAGGAAGGAGAGACCACAGGAAAAACCATCACACTGCAGCGCAGTCGATTCTCAATCTAAGACCTTTGGTCACTGAAGGGAGTATCTGAAAGAAGAGAAAAAGTAGATTTAAGCCTTTACAATTAACAAAAGTTAACTGCTTTTCATCCATTCTCTTTCTGCAGCTATGGAATGTGAAAGCTGGCCAATGAGCTGTGATTTGACGCTGAGCAGACTGAAACATGAAGCACTCCTCTCTGACACAAACTGCCTCACTCCTTCAGTTACTTTAACAAACGGAGCCTCGTCAAACATTGCAGACACTGATCTCAAGTCACCCCAACCAGACACTGTACCTGTGACCATAACAAAGCCGGTTCTCATCCCAGATGACCAGGTGAAACGTTCTTCTCTTTAGCTTGTCGATTTCGATGAATGACAGTAATGTTGGCTATTGCGTATTGGTTACAGCACCCGCCTTGCAAACCAGGGGACCTGGGTTCGATCCCCGGACAGGGCAAAACCTTAGGCAAGTTGCCTTAATCCACACACCTTTGTGAACAAAGCTGTAAGTAGGAACCTGGTTGCTAGCGGATTGGCGGATCGTTTTCTGGGCAAAATAATCCCTTCATAAAATAAATAAGATTAGAAATTTGATCACTCCATCCACGACTGTTTGTGGGACACTGCTGTGTGCAGTAGGCTGCCGTGTTTTGCTCACAAAACACCCAGTCAATCCACTTTACAATGTATTGTTTAGCTTTTTGCAACATCTCAACGACATGAGATGTCGCAAAAAGCTAAACAGAATACATTGTATTACATATCAAATGTAAGTTTTATTATTAACATCTACCTACCACATTCAATTGTGGAATGTAAATGTGAGAAATCTCAGAGAATCTGGATCAACCTATCCGCCCGGTCACTCCCCCCCCCCCCCCCCACACCCTTCTCCTCATGACCACTGCTGCAAAACAATGAATAGTTATTGAGGTGTTCCGCTCAGTCATGAGCACTGTCATTTGTGGTTCAGAACGTTGGCTAGCATTCAATCCAAGTCACATCCGTCTGTTCAGACTGATAATTTAAAAGATGAGAATTTATCCTCCAGATGAATTGGTCTTTCGCTTCCTGGCTGTTTGCAGGGACGGACTTGTGTTAACCACGAAAACTGCCAAGGCTGTCATCTTCAATGTGTTTCAACAGGATCATGCACTGTAAAAATATAAATTCTCATCCTTCGTGGGTGGGTGTGATGTCAGGTTTCAGAAGACTGGGTCCCTTCTGAGGTCCTCCACTTCCAAGGAACAGAGAAGCTGTAAACTTGGTGTAGCTTGAGCGTGTCAACAATTTAACATTTCTATTGCTCCCTTTAATTCAAGAAAACCTGTTGTAGTTCTTCGCAGGGTTTAATAAAAAATGAAGTGACTAAAGGCTACAAAATCAACAAATTGCATTTATTTTACGCCTTTCATGTCAGGAGGACATCGCAACGTACTGGACAATGAGAGTTTGCACTGTAGCTGGGAGTTGGGATCATAGAGGGGTGGAGGAAGGAAGATGACCGAAGGCACGGTTGAAAAGGAAGTTCTCAAGAAGGGCGTTGAAGGAGACAATAGAGGGGCAAGGGGCAGGGGATGGAGTTCCAGAAGGTGGCTGCAATTAATTTGTGCCAGAAATTTCTAACGATGAAGAAGATACAGAGTAGGCATAGGGAAGATGTTTCCACTTGTGGGGGAGATCAAAACCAGGGGCCATCGATACAAAATAGTCACAAATAGATCACGTAGGGAAGTTAGAAGAAATATCTTCACACAGAGATTAGTGTGAATGTGGAACATGCTATCACAAGGGTTTGTTGAGGCAAATAGGATAAATGTATTTAAAGGGAAGCTAGGTAGGTACATGAGGGAGAAGGGAATAGAAGGTCATGCTTGAAGGCTTAGTTGAGGAAGGGCAGGAGGAGGCTCATGTGGAGCATAAACACCGGCATAGACCAGTTGGGCCAAATGGCCTGTTTCTGTGCTGTGTATTCTAATGTGTAAACAGTAAAATAGAATTTGTGGTGAATTTACATTATTAATAATAATAATCCTTGCGTTTGATATAGCGCTTTTTGTCTTCACAACGTCTCAAAGCACTTCACAGAATATAAGAACATAAGAATTAGGAGCAGGAGTAGCTCAATCGGCCCCTCGAGCTTGCCCCGCCATTATGATAAGATCATGGCTGATCTTCAGACTTACCTCTAATTACCTGCCCTATCCACAAATCCCCTAATCCCTCTATTTTTTAAAAAAAATCTATCAGTCTCAGCCTTAGAGATGTTCAAGGACTGAGCATCTACAGCCTTCTGAGGTAGTGAATTCCATAAATTCACTGCCCTCTAAGTGAAGAAAGGTTTCCTCAACTCTGTTCTAAAATGCTGACCCTTGATTTTAAGCCTGTGACCCCTGGTATAGTGTAATGACTATATATTTTGTGGGTGAAACGCGGCAGCTAATTGCACACAGCAGTGTCCCACAAGCAGTTGTGGATTGAGTAACCCAATTTTTTTAAGGGATTATTACCCCCGGAAAAGTGATTCGACAATCGACTTAACACCCGGCTTCCTGTACACTACTAGGCAAACAGAGGCGTGTGGAGGAAGGAAACTTGACCAACGTTTCGCCCTAAGTAATAAGTGAGGGTCACAGAGAAAAACTATTTGAAATAATATGGGTGGTGGGGGGGGGGGTAAGGAGGGAGGGTCTATCCATCTGAAACATGACCCTTATGAAAACTAAATTAATATAATAGAAATTTATATCTTATATTTTCACGTCAGGAGCACATCCCAAAGCACATGATCAGGCTGGCTGTGGTATGGAAACCGAGGGGGTGGAGCGGGAAGGGGAGAATGACTGCAAGTGCGGTCAAAGAACGGTGTGTCTTGAGACAGACCTCAAAGGGCAGAGGTCAGTTGAAGGGACTCCGGAATGGAGTTTCAGCGAGTGGAGCAGCAATGATTGAAAGCCTGCCTGCTGATGGTAGGGTGTCTGGGGCAGAGGGGGAATGAGAACATAAAGCGGGTAAGAACATAAAAAATGCTAGACGAAAAAATTCTAAGGTGCATTCTAATTCGCCATCCACCTTCCTGGCAGCCGCTTTCACATATGTCCCAGGCTACCTATGTACTATATCCCATAGTTTTATTTCCTAAAAGAAAACTATCTAATCTGTGTTTGAAAGAATCAATACTTCCTGCCACAATCAGCTTCCGAGGGAGCCTTTTTAACAGGTTCACTATTCACTCACTGAAATAGTGTTTGCGTAGATCTGTTCTGAATTTATCCCCTTCAATCGCAAGCTGTGTCCTCTGGGCAGACTGGGGACACAATGAGGTGCCAAACAGGCTGTACTTTCAAGATTCCTGGAACTGCAGCAGTTGAAATATGTTCTGGAATTCATTGAATCCTGTGATCTTGAACTGATATTCTCAAACTGAATGTGTTGCTCAATTGCAGTTTCTGGGTGTGGGGAGACATCTTTCAAGGAAAATGGTGATGAAAGCTTCTACCGTTTGGGTTTCGTTTTTTTTTGGAGGTGGCCACGAAAGGGCCTGAAATTGGGACAATTGTCACACAGTTTTAAGTTTTTTTTTAAATGAAAAAGAACCCACTGACTTCGGAATAATTGCAAAAAGTAATTTTGCTTACTTTTAATTAGCCAGAAAAAGACTCAAACAGACCATGACGGCAGTGATAGTTACTTCCACTAATTCCACTGAAGTTACTCTGTCTTTGTAATTGTAATTCATGTAACAAATTGAGGTCTTACACGTCCTGTGAATAATGAAGTAACAAAGCAGGTCCGTCGCATATCACGACCACAGTGAGATTCATTGCATAGAGACTTAGCCCACCACCCTGTTGGCCTATAAAAGAAATTGTGAAACCAGTGCAATTACAAATTTGGTTGACGTTTCCAACCATTATGTTCTGTTTTCAGAATAAATCCACTACACTGAAGGTTAAATTGGAGCCACACGAGGTGGATCAATTCCTCAATCTCTCCCCAAAGGAAGGTAAGATGTTCTACATCTCCAATAACTACCTGAGACTCTTATTTGAATCTTAGTAGGAGGTGAGAAAAATAAAGTTAAGTTGTAATGGTAATGTAGAAAAATATAGAGTAAAAATGTATGACTGACATGGTGCAGGGTGCTACTCAGTCCAGGCATTGAAAAGGGACCCAGTGTAGGACTTGTCCAGATCAGGCACTGAGAGGGGGCACTGTGCAGATCCTGTACATTAGATATCGATGAGAGGGGTCACTGTGAGGATCTTGTATGGTAGGCATTCATGAGAGGGGCCGCTGTGCTGATTCAAAGGCAGCTCGACATGGACTATCCTGTGTTCTAGGAACATGTTTACAACGACTTGTCTCTTCCAATTAGGACTTGATTAGGATTTGTCCACAAGATACAGTGTAGTTTATCTCTCATAAATTGAGTGAAATCTAAGCAGTTGTATGAAAGAGGATGTTTGTAGTTAGATATATCGAGCTCATTGCTGCCTATTACCAGGGTCAGTAATTGAAGCGGTGTCTGGAACAGCTGGTGAGAGCATGCATTGCCAAAGCTTCTCTCCCAAGTATAAAGCCAGGGTACCACCTTGGCTCTATTACACTAGGGCACTCATAATCCACAAGAGACCAAATGATCTGAGAGTGGCCTGTGGTATGGTCTGAAGGTATTTTGGGGCTTTGGGAGGTACCATTCTTGTTGTGAATTGTGACCATTTCTCTTCTTTTCAGCAGGACCAGATGTGGTGCAGCTGCCGCCGACCCCGCCAAGCAGTCATGGGAGCGACTCAGAGGGAGGACAGAGTCCATCACACCGTCGGCAGCCAACTGTCCCTGTCCAACCACAGCAAAGCAAAGCCCCAGTACGGAGTCCTGCTCACTGCAACTCGCCGCTTCTCACTGCGCCATGTGTAAGCCAGCCGATTATTGCACAGGGTCTGTTGTGGCGCCCTGTGTTGCATGTAAGCCAGTCTGGTATTTTTGCATTACAAATAAGCTTTCCAGAATTCAGGTTCTGTATTAGTATCCTGTCCCAACAGATTCCTGAGGGAAGTTCAGTCATTCCCACACAAATTGCTACATACACCTCCTTGTAGCTCCTTCCTGAATAGAAATCATGACTTTAAAATGATTGGTCCTGTTGGCCAGGGTGGGTGAGATTCGAGCTACCTGATTGCACAGAGACTGACACTGAATGGTCACTCAGACCAAGAAGGGCCCAGTTTGGTCCTCGATTGTACCAATTTAGCATGTATCTAAGGATTGTTCTGAGACAATTGACTGCAGTATGAACAAGTCCCAGGAGGAGAAAACTGGAGTCCCATCCTGCTCCATCCCTGTCCAGCTCAAGATGGGTTCTATTTGAAGTGCATATGTGTGGACTTCAGGTGAGCAGATGAAATAATTCATCAATGCTTAGTATCTAAGAAAAGGTACCTTGGGGGAACTTCAGCCAACTCTGCTTTTCCTGCAAAAATGTGAGCAAGTTGTTATCAGACAGTGGGAAATTGTTGTGCGCTAACTAAGTGCAGCCACAAAATACAGTTATTCCACTTTACAGTGTATCCTGTTGAGTGCTTTGAGACGTCTTCCTGATGTGAAAGGTGCTGTATAAAATGTAAGGATTATTATTGCTGTCACTGACTTGCTGGTGTTGCTATCATTCTGGCCAGAGCTTAACCGGAGATGTACTGTGTAATTCAGTCCTACCATAATTGAAAGCCAAACATTTAGAGGCCATGACTGATTGGGATGAGCAGCAGATAGCAGCAAATGAGACCCTGCACTGCCCATGAGGAAATGGCAGCCCCAACCAAGGGAGGGCAGAACTCCCATTTTTCATGCAGTGTTTTTTTCTTATGCAGTTTCATAAGGCTCTTCATTGTCATACTTTGCTTGGTGCTTCTCTATCCCATTGCACTTTAACAATTCAGTGCATGTTTATTTGATTCCTTCCTTATCTCTCTGCCTGATGTGTGTTTTCGAAGTATCAAACCTGTAGTGGGCAGCATGTTGTGGTGGCAGTTCCTGCACAAATCCCACAGTCATTTTTCTCCTGCTTTTCTGGTGGTTGTATATTGGTCTGTTTCTCACAGCTGTTGCCGGGAATCTGTTCCCTGTAATCTGCTGATCCCAATGTGTTAAAAATGAAAAGATAATATTGCACTGATATATAATATATAACATTTTTTTAAATTCAGAAACTACAGGGTCCATCGGGACCTTTGCTTCTAACAGAAGAGGAGAAACGCACGCTGATTGCTGAGGGGTATCCAGTTCCTGTCAAACTGCCACTTACAAAAGGGGAAGAGAAAGCACTGAAGAAAATACGCAGAAAGATCAAGAACAAGGTACAGAGCATTGGCTGATGCCAACAAGACTGGGCTACTTCCCACTTATGGAAGGTGTGACTCCACCCAGTGTCTTTATTTGTTTAGTCAGGTGGGTGTGGAAATCCATCACCATGCTTAAATAGTATCCAAACCAAATAGAGTTCTATGCATACCACCCACACATGGAAATTCCAGAGATATTTGTTGGAATGGAATGCTCACTCTCCCTGAAGGGTTGCTTCCTGCTTACCTCATGGCTGCATGGCTGCTCAAAGACCTTGGCAACAAGACAAGCTTGACCTAGTGTGTATAACAAAGCAGTACATGACAGAATAATTTCACTGCTGTGGCAACGAAACAGTTCCGATTCACCCACTAACTCCCAATGTGACTCTCATTGAACTCCAGATCTCTGCCCAAGAGAGCAGAAGGAAGAAGAAAGAATATATGGATAGTTTGGAAAAAAAGTGAGTTTTTTTTAGATTATGTGTGTTCAGTTTGTTTGAAGCATAAATAACGTAATCAGCAGCTTGGGACATCATCCCAATGTGAAAGGCGCTATATAAATGTTTTTTTTGTTGTTGAAAATCTAGTTTTAAAATGTTGGCATCTGCAAACGTTTGTTGCAAAGATGGGTGGGTGGGTCTCCCCTCAGCATCCATTGGTGGTGTCTGACTGGGGTGGGTGATGTGGGTGTCTCCTCCCGGATACCACATTCCTGATACTCTGGGGTGTGGTCATTCCTCATTCTTGAAGCTAGGGATGGAGAGGCAAAGGGAATCTGGCATGGAGTTCCAGAGAGAGGGACCAGAATGTCAAAGTCCACTCGACGATGGTGGGTCAGATCAAGCGGGCCATGAAGCAGACCAATGTTGGCAGAGTGAGGGAAGTGACTGGAGCGATCAGGTGAGAGGAGGTCACAGGAAGGGTTGAGTGAGATTGTGGAGGGATTTGAACGCAAAGATCTTGAAAAGTTGAGATGAATTGGACAGTCTGTCAGGGAATCACAAAACTGAGCTGATGTATTCTTCATTGATCACCTAGGGTGGAATCCTGTTCAAATGAAAACCATGAACTGCGGAGAAAGGTGGAAACTCTGGAAAAGGCAAACAGGTACTCTGTAATATTATTATTCAAGGCCAGTCTGAAGAATCTCCTCTTCAAACGTGCCTTCGGTCACCCTCCTACCATCTTTGATCGCACCTTCGGTCACTCTCCTACTCTCCCTGCCCTCCACCCCTCCTGATCCCAATCCCCACCTTGTGTGCAAATCCTTGATTGTACAGCGCCTTGGGGAGTCCTCACGGAGTGAAAGGAGCTATATAAATGTAATTTGTTGTTGTTTCCAGGTCCCTCCTTGAGCAGCTACAGGGGCTGCAGGTGCGGGTGGCTGCGAGGGTGCCGACCTCCTGTAAGATGGCTGGTACACAGACGAGCACGTGCTTGATGGTGAGATACGCTGTTTAATGTTCTCTTCGTAAATCGCTTCTGTAGAGCAGTGTGTCCTTTCTGGCACTGAGTATTGTTCACTGTTGGAAGTACCTCGGTGCTGCTGCATTCTGCTTGCGCCACAATGGTCCATTCCTGTCGCGTAGCGGTTAGCGCGTTCCTCTCGTTAGTGACCGTCGATTCCCAAGTGGAGCGGAACTTTAGGCTAGTTTCCTTACTCCACACGCCTCTGTTTACCTAGCAGTAAGTAGGAACCCATTTGTTAGTCAATTGGTGGATCGCTTTCCAGGGGTAATAATAGTTTAAAAAAATACAGAAATAATAATTTAGTCTCTTGATTAATGACTGTTTGTGGGACACTGTTGTGTGCACTTAGCTGCCGCATTTCACCCACAGTCAATCCACTTTATATTATATTCTGTGAAGTGTTTTGACACATTTCAGTGACATAAGGTGCTATGTCAAATACAAGGATCGTATTATTTATTATATTCTCAAAATAGACCACATTGTCTTAAGATCTTGTCATGTTGTTGTTGTTGTCATGTCCCCTGCCCTCACACTTCTTCAAAGAGAGTTAAAATGAACATCAGTGCAAATTCTTCTTTCACTCACTCTGTCTGTGATCTCCCACCCCGGGTGCCTTGTGCCTCTAAGCTATATCGAACACTTGATACACTTAAGGTGTGGAGCAAGCTAACATCATGACTTGGGCCTGCTTCGCACCCTGCTCAAAACAATTGAGTGTTTCATGACAACTGTGGTAGCCACAGTTTTCTGGTTAGCCAGAGGTAACTGATGATATTTTGATCAACAAAATGCAATTTATCTGGGCTTCTGTATGATGGAGTACTACCCACAGCTTAACAAGAACTGAGAATGAATAAACAATTGCCTCCAGTACCACAGTACAGTGCTCCAACCATTGTTGATTGGAGCCTGAATGACTCAGGACTTGAACTCACATAGTCTAAGATGACATGCAATGCTGGGGTGTGTTGCATTGTCAGAAGTGCCATGCTTATGATGTTAAACTGACCCCATATGTTCACGTGGACATCAAAGATCTTGTGACACTTAGAAAAGAGAAGGGATGGTGCTCTCCATGGCTATTTGTGAAACATTACTGTGCTCAAATTGACTGTCACTTTCATCCACAAAACACACAGTTGACCTAGTTTACAAATGTATCCAGTGAAGTGCTTTGGGACATCTTCCTGATGTGAAAGGAGCTATTCCCAAATGCAAGGATTCTTATTGATCTGTCAGAGTGAGTTCCTGAACCCCTTCGCCATTGAAGGAGGTAAACTTGAAGCTGGTGAGAGAACCCAAGTACAGAGCTATAAGTCATGGAGCAGCAGCATTCCATTCTCTGTATCCAGGATATGTATTGTATGTATTTTAGTGAACCACTGTTTCCAAGAGGAGCATTTTATGTAAGACTGATATATATTATATATATATATGTGTGGGTGCGTGCATGCGTGCACCCAGCCTGTATTTGTGCAACTCCAAATACAATTTCAGAGGATTGTGCATGTCAGAGCTGCTGAGTGCATGGTATCTTGTGTGACAGGAGACGTGCTGCAATTGTCTGTTGGTGGTATGATCTCCATTCTCTTGCAGCTGGTGGTCCTGTGCTTCGCCGTTGTATTGGGGAGTTTCGGTAATAGGCTTGATTCCTTCTCATCCTCGGTAACTAAAGCGGTGCTTCCTGCCCAGGAATCCATGCAGGAGTCGTACACGGCCACAGGTAAGCGAGGTTGTTCCATGTCCACTCCAGCTACTTGCACAAACGATGGCAAGTTCACCAAACTTTTTTTTTTTCTGGACCCTTGCTGACCTTCAGAAAAATTGGAGGTTACAAGAAGGAAGTTTTAAGCCAGTGTGAGGCACAGCCACCCTCTCTCATTCCTCCATGTAAGCTGCACTGTAACAGGTTTGCTTCCTGCTGTTTCCACCATTAGAATGAATCCTGTGAAGGCCATTTCCACCAGCACAGAGTGGAAGTGGTGAGCAGTTGGTCATAAAAGAGAGCTGAGACAACCAGTGAGAGAGAGCACGAGTTAAAACTATGAGTTTGTTTCCAGAGTCAGGCCAATTTCTAGAGGTATCTAGTAATGTAATGATTTTCCCAGCTCGGGATCTGATCAGAGTATGACCTTGGAGTATGGAGAGTTGTAAAACGTTAGATCTGAAGTACGTAGTGCAAATAACATACCCCTGCAGGTCTTTTGGCATCCTGCCAGAAGGTATGTCACATAAAAGATAGAGCAGAGTTGCTCTGTTTTCAAAACCAATCTCAAAATCTCTCTGACTGTCTTAGGTCACCTCATCCTTTACCCCTGCTCCTTCTCCCTCTCGGCTTTGTAATGCTTTAAAATGCATTTAACATGCCTTAAGCCGCCCTCCTACTTCTCTGCCCTCCCTCATCCCAACACTGTCTACCTCATGCTTGGGTCCTGATCCCCGACTGTTCAGCGCCTTGGGACGTCCTCCCTATGTGAAAGGCACTTTACAAATAAAATTTTGTTGTCAAGATGTCAATGAAAGATTATGCGTGCAAATTGTTCTCTATTGTTTTGTTCTCTATTGTCATGGTTTAATTTGGTTCTGCTCATAGTTCGCTCAAGACATTTATTATTTTATGAAGAGCACACAGTGTATGATGATCAGTATAGCACTGTCATGTCAAAAGATTACACAAATACCTGGGACAAACTAACAGAATCGGCACGAGAGCGAGCACGTGTGGCGCAATTGCATGGCCCTCAGGATCCAGTCCATCGACAGCAGCCAAAGCAAATGCTCACAGTGTCACAGGAAGCACCAGACCTGCAGCAACCAACCAGCCAGAGCACAAGAAGCTCAGTCCTTATCGAACTTCAGTCTCAACGGTAAGGCAGCGATCAGCATCGTCTGAAAGCGGTCAGGTTAGCCTTGTGTTTACTTGCGATATTGTGTGCTTTTTGGTCAGCCAGGTATTTGACACATGCAGAAACCCATCCCATGCTTAAGAATACCCAAACCAAATTGAGAATTCCATGAATCCTGGAAAGTATCAGGCGTAGGTTGGCAAGAGCCAAGGCTTGGGCTAAGTAACCAAACTGCCCTTGATCTCCAAACCAAGGGTGACACTCCAATGTAGTGCAGAGGTGGGGGTGGGGTGGCAAGCTCAGCCACTGCTACTTGCTTTGAGACATCTTTCCAACGTGAAAGGTGTGATATCAAATTGCAAGGATGATGAATACTATTATTGATTTCACATCTCCTGACACCCATCTCTTTTACATGCCTGTTGCCACTAGATGGGAGTGTTCACAGTCCTGCTGACAAGACTTTGCTTCCAGACGATAAACGTGTAAACAAAGTTTATCTAATGTTTCTCACTTTGAAAAGTGTGCCTTTAAAAGGCAGTGTGTGGAAACCAGTGCATTCCTTATTGTGGTGTAGTACAGAAAAACTCACATAATTATTAATTGTATAAACTCCTTGGCACATTCACCCAAGTCCCTTTCAGTTTCCTATCAAAACCACTTAGATTTCTTTACACTACTCATATTACTCAAATTCATAATCCTGCTCCCCTACCCTCCATTACTCCCGCCCTTACCAGAGGCCTTAAATCATGGGAAATTATGTGTTTACCCATAGATACAGGCACATTTACCGGCCGGCTCCATTGAATCGTGAGAAATGTCGTCTTCATCGATGCATGCGCAGAAGAGATTCATTTCCGCCACAATGTGATTCCAACGTTTGCCGGTAACTGCACATGCAGTGACTGTCAAGACGCATTAAATCACGGGAAATGTAGTCTTAACCTGTCACCACATGCTCACTTACCAAATTCCTGACTGTCTATAGCCTTGGGCCATCCTCCCGAGGTGGACGGCGCTATACAAATGTAATTTGTTGTTGTTACTGGCTGCAATGATGAATTACCATATGCACACTTACCAGCTGCATTAAATTACACAGGCGCAGTGTAGATTATTGATTAAATCAGATTTCCTACAATTTCTACAGTTTTTCTGCAACTCGAACTTTGTATAAATCATTAAATGTTATGGTCCCAACTGATATGACTTATGTGAGTTTTTCTGTATTTTTATTTGTCTCCCTTCTGCCTGTCCCCTCAAACCCATAGTTCTAGTGATGGATATGAGGTGCCTGCAGCACCAGTCAGCTGAAAACCATGAGCTCCTAAGAGTAGTGGTGACAGACCTTGCATCAACGCAAGGTCTGTGGCTCTTCCTGTAGAGCAGTTTCTGTGCACTCAGTATTGGTTGCTTGGTTATCACAATTTTATTCCCTCCTGATCTTTTTGGTGTTTTTTGGGGGTGGGGGCAGCGGGGTGTTCAGATACTAACCTGTGGATTTCTTCTCTGCATTGTTTTCAGGAGCTTTCCCAATTCCGATATGAACGGAACAACCGTGGAAATCGACAGAAGAGTCAACGCAACATGGTAAAGGACCCTGAGGGTTGTTGACCTGATTTGATAATTCAAGTGTCTATCTTATTTCTATAATATATCATATATAAAATATATAATTTTTGTGTGTAAATAATACTCCCACAGGAATGGGCTGTTCCGAGACAGCCAGGAGGATGGCGAAATCTCTTTAATTCTTGTACTTTTGCGAGTTCTTTACCATTGATATTACTTATGGAGTATTTATATAATTGAAACTGTTGTATGTCTTTGATTTCTGTCTAATTTTGTTTTGCTTGCTTAGAAATAGACACTTGGATTGTTGAAACTATGGGCCACATGTCTTTCACAAACAGGTTACTGAACAGATGCACAAAAATGAGAGCACAGATTGCGATCAGATGTTTCTCGGTTCCCCACTGAAATGAACCATTCTAATCTGTATTCCTTGTGTGCATTATTATCATCATCCTCTTCTGTTTGCACTTTGGGACATCCTCCTGATGTGAAAGGCGCTTTACAAATGTAATTTTGTTGCTGTTGTTATCCAATTCCATTTGAAATGCCTTAACAGCCACTTGTGACCAAGCATTCCACATTCTTATCACCGTTTTGTGTGAAGAAAGCTCCCTCTTGACCCTTGTTTCGACATCACAAATGAACTGCGGTGTTAATGACTTGATTTGCAGACTCCCACCCACAACAAGCTTCAATATTGTTTATCATTTTTCTTTTTGCTACTTCAGTCCCTCGTGAGGGGGGAAACCTTCACCCACGTTTTAGTAATTTTTCCATGTTTTGGCCAGTGATGCAGGCAGGCAACTTGGACCTTGTCTTCTCATCCTGATCTGAACCCAATACTATTGTGCCATTCCCCTCCAGTCATAATAGTTGGTGTCTATTGGTGTCCTCCAACAGGCATTTGTTCTGAGAAGCACGGTTCATATTTAGAACTTGGCTGGATAAAGCTCTGAAAGTCCTCTGATTGAGGTAACACTGCCACTTGTGGCACTTGATAAAGGAACAATGTGGTATGTAAATACCACTGGAAATGTTCCAGTCCTGACTATATATTGTATGTAACAAACAATTCTCTCAATCCTGTAATGCTTTAATTTCAGCTAGGCTTTGGAAAGAAGTGTCAAGAAATGCAGCAGCCAGTGTGCATTTGGAAAATTCCAAATCAAACTAAACCCGGGTTATTTGTGTGGCTGCTGAGGTGTCCCTGAGTATGTGTGCACAACAATGTTTGCTAACCTCTGATCCAACTTGCATATAAACTGGGGTTTTTCATTTAAGTCCACCATGTGGAATTCATTTAAGCTTCCCCGTAATGGACTGGATTCACTCTGAGGGCAATGAAATTGACTGGGTTTAGATAGTACAACTCAGAGACAGTACTACCCAAACATTGATATGGTCTTCTGAACCAACTACAATATTTGCATGGGGAAGAACTCCATAAGATCTGCACAACAAATTCCAGTCAAATAATCATAATGAACTCCCAGCATTTGCTCAACGATTGAACTGTTGTGTTTTGGTGACTTGGATTTATTCCTGCTTAAATCCAACATTTAATTGCACCAGTATTGGATCTGCACTATGCTCGTGAAGATGAGAAGTTTGAGGAACTGAAAATGGGTTTTGGGACCTTGTAAACTGGGGGTCAACCCTCCCTGCTGCTTCCCTGCAGGGAATACCAGAATTCATAAGCATTGTAATTGTCTAAAAGGGATAGAAATTTGTTTTTTTATTCAACACAAAAACATTTTCATAATTTAAAGCTTTGAAAGCTGACTGTATTGCAAAAAATTCTATGTTATGCTTTCTACTGCAAATAAATATTTTCCTTAGTAAAATTGCTGCGATAAAACTGTTCTTTCCAGTCTCTTCAGAATCCACATCAGGAGCAGGGTTTTAGCAGAGAAAGTTAATGTGGACCTGGCATTGCCTCTGTCGCAGTGAGGAGAACTCAGAGATCAAATTGTCACAGAAAGGGAGAGGAGAGAAAGTAGGCTTGAACCAGACAGGTAAGAGATAAGAAAAGCATAGCGTAGTGCAGGCACTAAGAGAAGAGTGAGTGAGCATTGGTTTAGGAAGTGAAAACTTGGTGAGTGGGCTACAAATAGCTTCTTTTACCAGAGGAGCTGCTTGGGCCTAAGGGTAATTTAGTAATAACAATAATCCTTGCATTTGGTATAACGTTTTATCACGTCAGAAGGACGTCTCACAGGAATTACTGTGAAATGGAGTGAGTATTTGCAGGCAAATATGACAGCACAGTCGTGTACAGCAATGTCCCACAAACAGCCATGAAACGAATGACCAATTTTATTTGGAGGATTATTGGCCAGGACACTGGGTGAAACTCCCTAGTGAATAGTGGCATGGGATCTTTAACGTCCATCTGAACAGACAGATGGGACATGGGTTTAACGTCTCATCCAAAGGACAGCACTTCCGACAATGCAACACCCTTCCCCCTCCCCCCGCCCCCCCCGTGTCATCTATGTGAGCTCCCGATGTGGGGAACCCACAATCTTCTGACTCTGAGGCAAGAATGCTACCACTGAACCAAGGTGACATACAATTAAATTACTTGGTGACTTTCATTTTTTTTAAAAAAAAGCCATGGTTTGAAGCAATAATTAAATTGAGCTAAAGTCAGAATGACACTTAAATGCTGGTAAGGAGAATTACTGTGTGCTACTGCTCCAGGGAGACGAGCAGTGGCACACAGTGATTTGGTTTTGTGCACAGCAACACAAATGGCAATTAAGTGAATAACCAATTTTATTTAGGGGTTTGTTGGCCAGGACACAGGGAAAAACTGTGTTCTTTGAGTAGTGCCATGGGATCTTTAAAGTCCACCTGAACAGGCAGAAGGTGCCTTGATTTAACATTTCATCTGAAGGACAGTACTTCCTACAACGGAGTGCTTCCCTCGCCATTGCGTTGGAGTGTCAGCTTGGACTACATGAATTCCAAATTCCATTTTGAGTAACGTTTTCTTCACTGAGGTTTGGTTTCTCTACTTGCTAGGGAGAATCAGTAAGAAATTAATTCATACTGGTTCTCATAATTTCTGACTATCTGTGGGGCAGTTAATTCAGACACACTCGTCATCTTTAATTTTGCAATAACAACAGCATGTCTGGTCCTCACCTCCTGACTATTTCAACACATCAGGAGTTTGCAAGTTCTAAAAAGTGGAACAGTTAGAGAATGAAACCGGTTCTCCCATCACCCACTTTCTTCCGACAGTTGCAATATGGAACCAAACTGTGTCCCTAAATCTTCAGCAGGATATCAAGTGACTGACATGTGACCATCCTCAGGTGAGAGTTAAGCAGGGCCTCCTGAGAGGTGAACTGGATACAGGGTGATGCGCTCCGTAACAGTGTAGATATCGAGCTGGACCTCTGTCGTAGTCTCCAGTCCAGTTCCTGAGCCAGGCTGGTCCGCATTATTCTAGAGCACTGCTGGTCACAGCACAGCCAGCCTGGCTCATCAGCAGGACTAGGAGGAGCAGACTAGTCGCTGGAGGCAGGAGGTCATCCAACTCAGCTCCTGTTAACCTTGCAAGCCAAAAGCCTGAACAGTGGTCCAAGCTGGAGAAGTAGCGGAAACGCATGCCAGATGATGCTTTTAATGGTAAGCTACGTGGTTTGAGGTGGATCAACTCCACAAGTATTTCCTCAACACAAACTCCAGGCTTAGGCTCTTGCCAACCATCGCCTAATACACCCCAGAATAAGGTAAGCAGTGTGAATCTCCAAGTTGAGTGTTAATTTTATTATACACAAGAATTTTCACCTTTGGGTGGCATCCGTTGAACTGGTATGGATACTCATAAGCATGGTGATGAACTTTTGCCTGTGTCAGATATCTGTCTTGACTAAAGAAAATCAGCCAAAGATTCTCGTAGCCCGAATAGTGTAGCCCGAATCATTAACAAAGGCAACCATCGAGTTGCTCATAATTCATTCATCACAAACTTCCAATCAATCAGTCTCACTCTTGTCATTTTCAGGCTTCATTGATGCACATTTTCTTTTCCTCCCCAGAAATGTCAAAACTTTAAATATTTTTATTTCTTTCAAAGAATGGTTTGCTGTCCTGTGATCCAGAGCTCAGCTTCCAATGGAAATGCATATCTTGTACTATACCAGTCACCATATAGATACAGAAATGTCCATATACATTGCTGACAAGTAGCCAAAAATATGAAACTGGACCCTCAGATGTCTTTGGGAGAACATCTTCAAAGTTTTTAAGAGATAATATTGTAATGTCAGGGGACTGTAACACTGCATTTATACCTGCTCTAAAAACTGGGTAGCCCTTTTTTTTTGGTGGGGTGAGGGGAAATACCAGTGAGACTACAGGAGCTTACCACCTCCTCCCTCTCAGGGCCAGCACAATGCACAGATACAGTGACAGAGACCCAGAGAGAGAGAGACACAGACAGAGGGAGACAGGCACAGAGAGAGACATACACTCAGAGTCACAGACACAGAGAGAGAGAGACAGGTACACTCACAGACACAGAGAGAGATGCACATTCAACAACAACAAATTGCATTTGTACAGCACCTTTCACATCGGGAGGACTACTTCCCAAGGTAGTGTTTCGGACCTAAGCCAGGGGCTGGGATTGGGGAGGGTAGAGGGCAGGTGGGGAATGAGGGTGACCGAAGGTACGGTTAAAGAGGAAGGACTTGTGATGGTCTGAAAGAGCCAAGGGAGGGGGCAAGGTGGAGGGACTGTGGGATGGAGTTTCGGAGGGTGGGGGCAGAGTGACTGAAGGCTTGCCTGTGAATGGGGGCCGGGGGACGTGAAGCAGGCCAGAGCTCGCTGAGCGGAGGGAGCGGGCAGGGTGGTAAAGTGTTAGGAGGTTGCAGAGGTAGGGGAGAGCAGGCCATGGAGGGCTTTGAAGGTAAGGGCCAGGATCTTGAACTGTATTCACACAGAGACACATAAACATACATATAGAAGAGAGGCATCAGACACACTCACAAACAGACTCAAATACAGAAGAGAGAAACACACAAACACTTACAGAGTCACACATACTCAGACAAGCACAATATCCAACTGAAGCCCATTTCTTGCTTGTGCTGCACCGCATGAGTGAACAGTAGGGCCTGAAACCAGAAACTAATTTTTTTTTTTTAGTGGGTTTGTAGCGGAAAGTTTGTTTACAGGGGATTCCACCCTTTCCTATTTGCCCAGCTCATTTGTAGCATAAAGACCAAGACAGACCAGTTGGGTTGGATGGCCTGTTTCAGCATTGAATAATCTTCATTCATTCTATGTGTCATCTGGGTTCATTTTAGGAGGTACTTTCTTTCTGATGAGAGATTAAACCGAGGTCCCATCTGCCTGTTCAGGTGGACGTTAAAGATCCCTCTCCACTATTCGAAAAGAGACGGGAGTTTCTGTCTCCTGGTGTCCTGGCCAACAATCCCCCCAAATAAAATTGGTCATTCGTTTAATGGCTGTGTGTGGGACATTGCTGTGCACAACTGGTTCCTCCGTTTCACCCACAAAATACACAGTCGATCCACTTTACAATATACCCTGTGAAGCGTTTTGAGATATCTCATTGACACGAAAGGTTCTACATCAAATGCAAGGATTATTATTATGTATATCATCTTTTGTTCTGTTGGACTGGCTTGCTGTTCCTGCCTTTCACCTTTCAGCATTTTGGGATATTCTCTTGACTGAAACCTCCCAGTGATCCCATCCCCCTCAATGAAGGATCCCCGCCTGCCTATATCTTCCACCCTTACCCCAACCAACAACTGTGTCTCAACTCTGTCTCACAGATCACTTCACATCGCCTTCGCACAATGTCAGCTAAGAGATTCATCTCTCAGTTGTATTTCTCAGCACCAGCTAACAGATCCTTCTCTCACTTTATGCAGTACACATCTCTCAACTCTCATTCACAGCTTCATATCATAGTTTCTCCGCTCTCTCTTATTGTTCTGTCTCAACAACAATTTATGTTTATTTTGTGCCTTTCATGTCAGGACAATGTTTCAAAGTGCTTCATACAGCTGACTGAAAGCCCAAATTGTGGGTGTGTATTTGTGTGATTGGGGATGGGGTTTGTGTGTGTGTGTGTATGTGTGTGTTTTGGAGGGGGGCGGGGGAACATGGTCAAAAAGTAAGATCTTGAAGTGGATTTTGATCTTGAAGTGGATTTTGAAAGTGTGTCTTGGCTCTGTCACTCAGCACTAACTCACAGCTTCATATGACAGTTTAACAGTTTTGTCTAACCTCGGCCTCTTAGGTCCAACTCTCAGCTCTATCTTGTGGCTCCATCTCGGATCTCCATCTCAGCTGCGAGAGACCTGAGTTCAATTCCAGGCAGGGTGAAACCTTGGGCATGTTTCCTTACTCCACACGCCTAATAATAATCCCTCCAAAAACAATAATAAATTGGTTATTTTCAATCTACGACTGTTTGTGGGACATTGCTGTGCGCGATTGGCTGCCGTGTTCGCCCATAAATATACAGTCAATTCACTTTACAGTGTGTTCTGTGAAGCGCTTTGAGACATTCTTCCGACGTGAAAAGCGCTATATCAAATGCAAGGATTATTATTATAACAATAGAGCCTTATCAATGATGATATTGAAACGTTGTGTTCTCTAAACATGCTTTATTGTTCGCAGCTGAAGTTTTCCAGAAGAAAACAAATCCATGCCTCTAGCGATTTTTCTTTGGTCAATTCAAGCAGCCCAGAATTCTGGGATTGCTTGCAGTCAGAGGAATAGGGGAACAGAGACATTTTAGAGATGGGGGCCACTTCGCCACCATGTTGGTTGCGGCATGGGTGGAAGCAGTGATGCTTCAATGAGGGGCATGGGGTCACTGGAGGACAGACAGGTTTCAGTGAGCCCAAGAATGTCAATGTGCTGCTCTTCCAGGATGAGGTCATGGATCATGAGCGCTTTTGTTATGTTCTCAACAGTCAATGAGTGGAAAACTCTTTTATTCTCAGTTCACAAGTTA